TGCACTCCTAACATGGGTCTCCAGAGTGGTGCAGGATTGTTAAGTGCTTTAAATGGGCACTTTTATAACCTGTGTTTCTGTAACTCTGAAGTAACACTTTTAAACTGTTCCTGTGTTGAATAGTAAACGAGTCAGAGCACCAACTCCTTTTTTTCTTATTTTCAGAGAAGATAAGATTTGAATAGAAACTGGTGGGAAGTGTATATTTCTTCAGATGATAAAATCGGTGAGAAAATCTAATGTGCATACAGCTAGCTGGAGCAGTGGGAAAAAGCCAGTAACACAAGCCCACTGATTTTCTGGAGCTCCTGGTGTTACTACTTTTGAATGCCACGTGGCCCAGTATCACAGAAAAGAGCTGTGTTCCCTGGTGGCCTCTGCTCCACGTTTAGGAGCTGCCATCCTCCTCTACGAAGAAGCTTTTGTGTCAGAAACCCAACTCATCCCTGGGAACCCCCAGGGACTCAGGTGCTATTGCCCAGGGCTGCCACAGGTCAAAGTGTGAAAAAAATGACTTAGTATTTAGAGAAAAGCTATGAAAAGTACAGTATAACATATCGTCATATGTGATTGTTTCTCCCTATCTTGCATTGACCTGATGGCTCTTAAACAAATTCAGGTTTTAATTGCATGTTTGCTCTGCTGGCGTAAAGATTGAGAGCTTAGTCCCTTCTTCCGATGCTGTTCATAGTCCACTGTTTTCTGCTGTTGTGTTTTGTGATGATAATGCCTAAAACTAGGAATGAGTAGAATAATAACAACATGGATTGAAAAACGATGCAGATTAACTGCTTACTCTGAATTCCCGGGAAGTGAGTGAGCAGTCTTATTCTTACAGCTTCATTAATTGGAAGGGGCTGTGTCCTTCAAAGGGCTGCCCAAGACATTTCCTCCAAAAGGTTCACGTGTTTGTAAAAGAAAATAGAAGGTGGGAGAAAATTAAAGCTATCTGTAGCAATAGAAGCTGAATTATATTAAAATTGTGCATGTAGTTCTTATATGGCTGTCAGAGAGGGGACTGTAAGGCTCTCAGGACTATCTCGTGTGGAATGGGAAAGGAATGGAAATTCAGTCTTTCAAAAAGAAATGGGTAATCATACCTGTGATAATACATTTGAAAATGGAATTTTCAGAAGTCTTAGTGTGTAAGTTATATAGATGTCTTAAGCATATATAAGATATATGGTCTGCATGATATTGTACTGTACACAGACTCTCATTTCAGTGTTACTGATGGGCTGTGTGTGCATGGGGTATCAAAAATCTGGGGTTTGGTTTTGTAAGTTAGTATAATTGGTAAAGTGTGTGTGTGGGCGTGTTTATTCATCTAGTTGGAGGAATGTATGTAATCATTATCTCTTTAATTTCAGTATTCTTGTCATTAAAAGTCAGAAAAATATAGTGTTTTGTGAAATGTACATGATGAAGAGAGAATGACAATTTGACTCTTAGCTGAGGGGTAGATTAGCACATACATTCCAGGTTAATAACCAAACAGGTTTATGTTTGCTTTGCAGAATTCAAATATCTAAGTTCTATATTTTATCTGAATTTAGGAAGCTTTCTCTTGAAACAGCGTCTTGACAGAAGTTGAATACATGACACATAGAAGTGAATAATGTGTGGAGGGACAAGAGGCAGTTACATATTCTTCAAGGAGTTTTGTGCCAAATCCAGATCTAAAACTTCTCTCAATCCATTTGTATTTCTAGTATCTTCAAGAAGATATTTCACTGTGACCAGGCAGTTGAATCTAAAAAATCAGAAAACTGAAAACTTTTGGGTGTTTTTCAACAAAGCATTTCATAGTCCTACGTATAACACTGCTCTTTCTAGGGAGAAACTGAGGGCTTTTGTATTAAGGTAACACTGAAAATCAGAAGTTCAAATTCAGTTTGTTCTGAAATGTAGCAATCGTTTCAGACTTTTGGAATATGCTAAACCTTTTTAATTGCTCATTTTTAATGCTACTGAATTTTGAAAACTTTGATTCCACTTAAGCAGTACTGTGTACTTCTTAAAGCATCTAATGAAACAGACTTCTTCATCTGGATGTTGAGGCCAAAATTTTGAAATTACACAGTGTTGTTCTTGGCATTTTGATTCTAAACCAAGTATATTTATCAATATATGATGCTTCCGGAACAGAGGAGTCTTGCTGTGCTGCTCTTCAGATTTGCATATGGGAGTGTTCCCTTAGCTCTAGAGTCATGTAAGATGGAAAGAACCTGTGGGGGTCCTGTGGTCCAGCCCCTGGCTCAAAGCAAGTCCAGTTTGAGCAGGCTGCTGATGGCATTCATTTAAAATATTTCCCAGGATGGAGATCCCACAGACTCTCTGGACAGTCTGTTCCAGACCCTGTCCTGTGCTGCAGCTCTGGACCTAGGAATCTCCACTGGTCTCCCTCCAGTAAATCTTGTCCTGAGGAGCCCAAAACGGTACACATTGCTCCAGATGCAGTCTCTTGAATGGTGAACAGAGGGGAAGATCACATCCCTGGGCCTGCTGACTACACTAACGCAGCAAAGGATGCGGTTGGCCTTCTTTGTTGCAGGGACACTGTGCTGACTCATGTTCAATGTGGTGTCTGCCAGGACCCCTACATCTTTTTATGCTTTCCGACTGATTGACTCCCAAGGTGTACTGCTGCATGGGGTTATTCCTCTCTGGGTGCAGGACTTAGCGTTTGCCTTGCTGAAATTCGTGTAGGCAGTAGATAGCAAGTGATGTCCATTTTGTATCATCAAGTTTAACACCCTGGATCAAATTCGTCCCTATGGAGCAACCTTGAGGGATGTGATTGTACCAGATACAAGTTGGAGCAGTATTTGATGCTATAGGTCCTTAGGTTGCAGTCTGACATTACACCTGACCCAGTGTAACTGCAGTCTGCTGCTGAAATGAAGAGCTTTGCTCTCCTCACAACCCTGACCATATGCTTCGGTTAATTTTCTTATTTCGAATTTAGTTGATGGTTCAGCCACAGGGTCAGATCGGCAACTTAAAGAACAGAAGGCCATCCATCTGCTCTGAAAAAAACTGAGTATTTTCTTTTGGTCCATAAAGCTTGAATGGCTTGCCCACAGCTGCATAGATTTGAGGCATGGTGCAGAGAAGGACAAGACCAGAATCACACCTTTCAGTGTGAGCACACAGTTACCTTAGCTTAGGCTGATGGTGGTTTGATATTTTACGATATGAATTTGTTGGTGAGCTCCAGTTGTTTCTGGGTTTACAAATGTTGTAGACAGGTGGATGAAACAAAATTCATTGAGAAATGAATCATGGAAGATGTATTAAAATCCTACGAGTCATTTCAGAGAGCTGCTTTAGAGATGCTCTTAATTCTCATTTTAAAAATAGATTATCCAATTGTGAAAATCACACTGAATATTTTTAAAAGGATAAGCAGCTAATTAAAACCTGTACCTAGCAGTGTTCAGTGGGTGACTGTTGGTGAGATGTCATTGTGTTCGAAGGCAGATATGCTACTTTTAACCTACAATCCTATATATAGTCCTGCTCACAAGTTAAAGAGCTCAGAAACTGAAACTTGTTAATTGACTATTACCACCTTCTGTGGTGCCTTCACTCGTACCAACGTTGAAATCCTCAAGCAGGACTGGTTGTGAGAGGGAGAGTTCGGATGTTACAGAAATAGTGACAAATGTGTTGTGTATGAATTCTGGATTCCCAAGGAACAAGATAGTGAAGCAAGCTCTGAGACTTAATTACAGGTTTAGAAGACCAGCGAGGGAAGGAAACATCAACCTGTACCTTTGGGCAGACAACTTCCAAGGAGGATTTACCTGTTTTTTTAGAGCAAGATATCTTGCAGATGTGGAAATTTAATAGAGAATTGAAATTGCTGCCCTCTCCCATCCGAATGGAAGGACACTGTGGTGAGTTACTAAACTCTTAGAAAATAAACCAAGTGAGATAAATTCGTATGCTAGGAAAGCCCCCACATGCCCTCCCTTCTGAGGAGGCTCGGTGGCATGCCGTGGTGGCTGTGAGCTTTGGCATGTTTTGTGAGTGAGTGTCATCTACCTGATTCTGTCTTTGTGCCATAGGAAGTCAATTATCCTATTCTTCTTTTCTAGTTTTAACTCATTTTCTTTCAGATTGTCTGATTGCCTAACATCGATGAGCCAATTCAAAGTGATTGGACTCTGCTTCTGCTTTACGTGATGCTTGATGCATCTGTTTGAGATGGGCTTCAATGTTCAGCTGGAAGTTCAGCTGGACTTTTGTTAGATAAATCATTGAGTCAAAAAAATATATTAACCTTCCCTCTGGCTGGTGCTCCTAATATACTAGATACAAGAATGCTCAGTAGTTGCAGTCATTCTTCAGAGCAGTGAATCGTTCATGGCTTCTATTACATCACCATCTCCAGGATTATTAATGGTGCAAAGCCTGCACTTGTGCTGAGACATCTCATGAGAGTCCGGTTGGGTCATGAGCTGAGTCCCAGTCTTGGTCCCCGTAAAGACTATGGCAAAACGTACTAGATGGTAATATCCTGCCCAGGGCATGCAACTGTGCATAAGAATGAAAGAAGCTGGCGTAGTTGTATGACCATTTGGTTGTGTGATTGTATCTGTGGAGCAGGTTGCCTTTTGGGGGGAGTTTAATGGAGCAGTGGTTATAAGTCTATGGGTATCTATAAATCAAGATGAGATGTCTTCCTAAAAACATGTAGGATGTTGATGACAAGTTCTTGTCTGTTCTGGAACAGCTGAAGTTCCTTGGCTTGTGCCTTTCCAGGTCAATCAATGGTGCTAAGTTCTAGACTTTACTTTGTAATATTTTGTTCAAAGGAAAACATGATTAAATGGTTTCTTTCACATTGGCAGTAGAAAACTAGGACAGCATTTGAATTATATCACTTCATTTTTGAGACAGTTTTTGGTAATTAGTCATGAATTCTTATTATCTATATAGAAGTGTATCACATTTACTAATTTTTATTCAAATGTGTGTATGTTCCCTTGAATAAACTTCTGGGTTGGACCAGATGACCTCCAGAGGTCCTTTCCAACCTCAATTGTTCCGTGATGTTCATGAAACGCTTTTATTATACCATATATTAGGAGGCTCTGAGACTTTAAGCAGTACAAAAATCTATTGTGAGTAACAGTTATGACCTAAAAAGAACATTTAATTTTTTTTATACATAACACAGGAGCTTGCTGGTGCTGCACTGCTGCAAGACCAGACAGACTTGCTGCTCACTGGAGCAGTGCAGCTCCATCACATTCTGTCTGTTATACTAGAGACAGTGTTGGTGTCTTCTGATCAGGTTATCGAGTAAAATTCATGGTAGAAAATCCTAACTTGAACAGGTGGAAATTTAGGACTCCTGGATCTCACATGGCGTTAGGCCTCTTTGTACCAGAATGGCACATGGAGCATTTGGTTGTGTCAAAGAGCAAGACAATTTTAAAGGCTTTTACCATAAAATATTTTTCCTTGTCTTAACTTCAGGTAAGTAAGAAAGTAGTAAGTATTTGGAGTATAAAGGAAAAAAAAAAAAGGTGCGAAGCGAATCCATTATCAGATATCCGAAGACGTTAACAATATTTAAACTCCATGTGTCCTCATGATTTTTAAAGTATTGCCTGTGGTTCAAAATGGATGACAGTCCTAAACACTTATTTGGCTGGCTTAAAACAGATTTTAGTAGCATTGTTTAGAAACAAAGGACAGCATTGCTTTTGTTCTCTTTCTAAGTACTAAAAATTTTCTTTGAAGTGCAACAAAAATGTAGACTAAACCATTCTTTGGCTGTTTAGGGAGCAAAATAATGTTTATTCTTAGCAAGAAGTATCTGTGCAGCTTTTGTAGCGAAGACAATCTCTCAACTGGTATGAATTTGATAGCGTTTGTGAGGGAATGTCATGCAGAGTTTTAAAGAAATGCTAATGAAATAATCTGATCAGATGGACTTCACCATGAGGCAGAAGGCATGCATTATGGTTGTGCCCCACTTAAGCCATGCTTTGATATTTCGCTTGGGATTTAGTTGGACATGAGCTTTGGGTGGAGTGAAATGTGTTTCTAAATCCTCACCATCCTTTGCTGCATTATAAAGTGATTTGTCCATCTGGTCCTCTTAGAGAAAAAAATACTCAGCAGTTTCTGTGCCCAGGCAAAGCTCATGACAGAAAGCTTTTTGTTTTAAAGACGTTGATAAAAAGGAAAGGTTTAATAAAGTGTAAGAAGAGCTGTTGTTGAGTAGAGCAAACAAGTAATGTAGATGCTTTGGGGTTTATAACTGGGATAGATTATCTCCTATGAGGGTTCACTGACATTTGCTTTCTAAGCATATAGATTAAGAGAAGGAATTTGATATGATCTAAGTTGGGAGGACAAGTGCTGTTTCTTTAATGTATAAAAGTCATCACTCTCATGCAGCATTTTAACAACATAAAAGCAGCTGCATTTGCCTGTACTTACTCCCTGTAATGCCAATTTTATTTTCATTCTGTAACTGATCCTGTTAGTGATCAATCCTTGCTGATACAACAGTTTTTAGATATACAAGGATTTGGACTTGAGTGCTCAGTGTGTTTTTGTATCTTTAGATACTGTTTTTTTTCTAAGGAGCTGTAACATCTGCATTTGCAATTGTCAGTTTGATATGTCCCTCCGATACTTCCAAGTGGCTGAAAAATTGTGAAAGAGAACTGAGCAAGTAGAGAAAACAAACCAGAGTAATAATCAGTTCTTTTATGGACAGATATTTAATTTTGATAAAGGTGTGAGACTGTAACCTGTGTGCTTTTGTTTGCTCTGTTGTAGGCTGCCTTTCCCCGCGGGCGACCGGGTGACTTTTAATGGGAAGGAGTGCATCTGCCAGAAATGCTCTCTGCCCCCTTCCAGTAGCACTGGCTCTTTCCCTGTACAGAACCTGCGAAGTAAGTGGGGTTTCTGCTGTTCTCTGTTGGTACCTCTTAGTCTGCACAGGTTTAAAGAGCACAGTTTTACACCAATATATGTAACTGGAACTTCTACCACTATGCTGCATAGAAGGTATCAAGAAATACAATGTAGTCATGTGAAAAAGTATAAGGTAGTTTTCCAAGAAAGTCTGAAATTAAAAAGAAACACAAATGGTGCCGTTTTAGGGTTAACAATACACAGAACCTCTCAAAACATTGATTAAAACTGGAGTAAATAGAATTATTTGGAGAAAAGTGTAATGTAGATGTTAATATTTTTGAGAATTTAGTCGAACTCCAGCTAAAATGAAATCCAACATGAGATTTAATAATTTGTACGTGTTCCAGTATTGCTTCAGAAAATATCAGTGACAGGACTGCAGGGCTAAATACTACACAGGGAAGGTTAATGCGTGCAACGTGACCAGAAGGACATTTGCCTTGACCTCAGTACTATTGTCTACTATCAGAAGATACAAACACTGCAGAGAAGAATTGTGGTGTTTTCCTCCCACCTTTTTTTTTGCAGCAGATCATAGAGTGGTGTTATTGCTCTGAACTCTGTTCTGCTGATTTGTTTGCGAGGAGCTGCCACGGTTTGACATTCAACCGATGCCTTCATGTAATTAAACTGCAACAGCAATTCAATTAAACAGCAATTCAATTAAACAGCAATTTTTGTAATGTTTTTAATGACGATCACGTCACATCGAGCTGGATTCAACGTGACTGAGGAAGCACCCCATAGATTGCTCTTTTTTATATATAAGGAATCCAGCCCACTTCAAGGAGAAATTTCTGCTTTTTTTTTCTTTTTTTTTTCTTTGTTTTCCCCTATGTCTCTCTTTTTACAGTAGTTTTCCCCATATTCTTTCTCCAGTTTGTCAGCAAAAGCTGCTGGGTGAATGCAGTGAGAGATGCCATGCTGATTCCTGTCTTTCTAATGCTGTTCTCCTCTGGGGCAGGTATGGCCCTGTCTCTTAGGTACTTACTCTTGTCACGTTTTCCAGAGTTGGATCATCTTCAGCCGTCTTGGCTGGCTGCATTTGCAGATCCATACTTTAATGGCCTATCATCTGTTTGTCTCCTTGTCATACGGGAAAAGTGGCTTTGACTTTAATGGGAATTATTTGCCTGGTTGAGCACTGACAGAACAAGTTCATTTGATTATCTGTGGTACAGAATCCTTTAATGTACTTACATTCCCTTTTTCTGTACACACACACACCCCCCATGGAGCGTTTTTCTTGCGTTGTGTTTCCCCACCTCTTTCTGGTGGCTGCACCGAGTCTCCCTGGTGCATGGGTACCTGCAAACCTCAGCAAACCACTTGCCTCAACGGGAAGCATCACTGGAAGCATGTCTTTGTAGCAAAACCTGACCTTGGAAAACAAAAGTTTAGCTTTTCCCCAAATAAAATCTCAAACATACATATTTAAACCTCAAATAAAGGTCTACTTTAAATGCCATTAGAAGTGGATGAAGTATTTCCATAGGTTTCAGTGTCTTGGTTAAGAGTCTTGGTTCAAACTTGGATGATATCTGCCACACTATAGATCAGACTTCTAAAGGAACTTGCTCTTGTCTTCACCTGAGAACCTGCTTTGCTCTGCTTTTCAAACGATGTACTGATGGGGGTGAGCTGATAGATATAATGACTTCTCAAAGGGCAAACTGAAGTCTGTATCTGGCCTGCAGGTGAACTGTGCCATGATGTTGCCAGGATCCCAGATAAATATCATCCTTACCTGCATAGACTATATCCTTTCTTATCTCCTCCTTACTCCATTTCCCCGGTGTGCTGCAGTGCAGCTGCAGGCCAGCGTTTTCTGATTTCATGGTGAGATGCAGCACCCAGCTGACCCAGGAGCTGTGGAGCTCATGGGACTTAGGAAATTGGACAGCAATGGTATAATCCCTCCTTGTTGTGGGAAGTAGAGCTTTGGTGGGTCAATGGGAAGCACTGCAGCTGCAAATACGTGGAGGTACATGCATGTATGTGTAGCAGGATATCTAAGAGCTTGACCAATCACAATAAACAGTAAATTTACAAAATATCTAAAAAGATAATAAAGAAATTGGGAAACATTCAGATTAACATGTAATATGTGAAAGAGCAATATGTAATACCAACTGTTTTCTGAGCACTTAATCCTTAGGCTAGAACCAGTGTTTCAGGAATAAACAAGCAGCACCAGAGACATCTTGGTTCAGCTGGAAAATTGAAAGTCTGGAGTGGCCAACTGTAGCTATGCTACATATTACACAAAGCAGTAAATGGCATGTCTCCTTGTTTTAACAACAGTCTTCTTGGAAGATACTTTAATTTTTTAACCAAACAATTCTTTTTATAAAAGACAGTAGTTCACAAAACAAAGTGACTTCAAGCAAGCTGAGTCAAGGACCAAGTAATATGTTGACCCACTGTTATGCTGGTTTTGCTCCTGGCTCAGAACTGCCTGGTACAAACTATGTATGTTACTTGTCAGCCTGTTTGTCTCTGATCTGAGCTCAAGGATGCTTTCAGGAGGTCTCCTGGGGACTCACTAAGCTTCCAACGTCACTGCCCTCTCTAACCAGTCCTTCTATTTTAATCTTCCCACTTTGGTTTTGACTTCCTTTAAGCATCGCATTTGAAAGAAATGAAGAACGTCAAATATTTGCTTTTTGCCCGAATCCTTGAATTTTTTTATTATTATATAAATACCTACCTAGTTGTTTTGTTTTGTTTATAAAATGCTAGCTGTGAAAACCTCTTGTGGCAGTGTTGATGTGGAAAGAGTACTTGGGGAAGAATATCGACATGTAGCAGCAAATTGACGTGTTCTGCAGAGTTATTGGTTGAAATTAGGTGAGTCACCAAAGAATGCTGCATCCAAGACAGGAAGACAAGGACGTTTCATCCATAGGCAATGTTGGCATGGCAACCACAATATTTGTTTTTAATTATCTGGAACTTAACAGAGAAAACAGCAGTTAGGAATAAAAAAGTAGCTCATAAAATGCTGCATTTTTGCCCACCCAGGCTTAAACCAGATGAAAGGTGAATGACATCTGAGCACACAGTATTGTATTAAGTTTGTGAAATAAACCCTCAACCACTGAGATTAAATTAGATTACCGGATGAACCCCCAGTACAGGGGAGATCACAGACGAATTTCTGATTGCAGTTGAAGAATAGATTCTGCAGTATTTATTGTCTCGTGGGACTAAATCCAGGCACGCACCCAAATGTTCTCTTTTATTAGCAAAACTCAAATGTTCTGATCTATGGTGCACATGCTTTTGTGCTGGGCTTGTTTCCACATATTGGTGCTCTACAGGGTGATATTAGAGAGACATATTATTACTCCCTTAATCCATTACAAATCCACTAAAGGAAAACAAGAACTATCTTTTATTGTTGTACACTCAGAAATTAAACATTTACAATTGCACTGAGTGTCTCATTAGGGTCACGTAACCAACTAAGTAGAATCTTAAATCAAAAAGTTTTTAAGAGGGCTGTTTAGATCTTTTAATGAGATCTTATGTTTGAAGTTCTTTCTTAATAACTAGATAAATCTTTTTAAATGCTTATGTGTATCTTTTTCTTCCATGCAAGACATTGTTGTTTTTTTGTTTTGTTTTGTTTTTTTTTTTTTCCTCTTCTGGCATCTCTAAATGCTTCTTCAAATGTCTTTCACGATTTGTCTTTTCTCTAGCAAATTGTTGGTATGCATGAAGAATTCCTAAAAAAAAATACATGTTTTCACATAAAATGGGAGATATAATCATATGGAGGATTAGAAGGGTTACTGAGATATCAACACTAGAATAAGTTTATTACTGATGTTTATCCAAATTTTTCCATGTATTCTGACTATTTTAATATTTTGTAAGAATATTATACATAGATTGGAATCTGTAGAGAGTGAAGAGTGAATAAGAGCTGGACCCTGTAGGGTAACAGAGAATTCCCTTAGGATACAGAGGTGCAGCTTCAAATCCCATGTCAGTATAGCTTCCCTAAACATTCTCCTTACTGCTGGACTGTTCGCATGGAATCTGTGTGGATTCAGCTTTTACTACCATAATCAAAAGCGTCCATCATTTAAAAAAAAAAAAAAGCAACCAACCCCCCTAAAAAAGTCATCCTTAATTACTTTTTCTGAGGAGTATAGCTACTTTACATATAACCTGTTTAACCAACATAGCCTAACTTTTGTTATCCAGTTATTACATATTTTGCATTTTATTTTCCTTATAAATTTTTGGAGTTTTATATAAGTGAATTTCCATAAATAATAAATTTATAAGTGAATTTCTATAAATAATAAATACATAGCTAGCCAACGCTTTCACATGTTACAATGCCACACTACTCAGGAATTTGAAATGCCTCTCAAGTATTGATGTATTTTTCCTGGTTACAGAAGTTCACATCAGAATTTTGACTTAGTTTTTTCCCCAGCTGCAAAAAGAATTTTGAGCTATGAGTAAAGCTTTCAGACTTGGAAGCAAAGTCATTTATTTCTCTTAATCTCATGACTTTCAGGTCTTTTTAAAATAATTTTATTGGACTGATCTGTGACACTTGAAAACTCAATCAGCAAAACTTCATATCTTTTAAGTGTAGTACAAATGAATTAAAACCTAAGTCACTAGGAAACCTAAGTCATTATTTTTTTCGTTGAATGATTCGTATCTTCTAGCAATGTTAGGACAATATTAGGGTAGCACCACTTGTCATCCATCAGTGAGCAGCCAGCAGCAAGCTTTAGAGCCTGCACGAGCTGTTACTAGGACACCCATGGGTCGTCGTACTGCAGTAACCAGCATTGTTGCGTGACCATCTAAAGCACGTGATTCACTCATATTGGATTTTTCTCTTGCAGATTGTGGGGGCTGTGGATCAGAAATAAAAAATGGGCAGTCATTGGTTGCCTTGGACAAACACTGGCATTTGGGCTGTTTTAAGTGCAATACATGTGGCAAGCTACTGAATGCAGAGTACATCAGCAAGTAAGTTGAGTGGAGGAGCATTTTCACTCTTTTTTAGCATTCTTTTAGCTCTAAATAATTAATTCACTGTTGCATATCCTTTAGTTTGTGTTTATCAGTATTTGGAGATACATAAAAGATTAGAGATTAGGACCTAAATTATTATCTGAATTGTATTAAAAGCAGAAGAATTCAAATTAGGAAAAGTAGAATTTGTCCATTTACCTGGAATGGGACTTGCCAAAGCTATAGAAAGGCAATGGGTGGAGTATGCCCTTAGTTGTCTTTGTTTGACTTTGCTCTATGCAATGCCGTAATGTGAACAAACAGTTATTATCCTTTCCATGTGTTTCCTATAAGCAAAAATATTCTCAAAAAGTCCATTAAGGAGGTACATATCATGCTTTTGCGCTGCTCCAAACACTCGTGCTGTCAGATTTGGGCTGAACGTGATGACAACAATGAGAGGCAGCACAAAGCACACACGCAGACCAAGTCCCATGTCAACACTTATATCACTGCAGTGAGGTACAGGGCTTTCACTGGCCAAAGCACCTGGGATTAATTTCTGCTTCAGAGAAGTATGTTGATATGATGAAATTTTCCTAAACAGCTAAGTAACTCAATCACCAGTGCCCAGAGATGATGGAGTTTCAGAGCTGATGTCCCACTGACCTTCAACAATTCTTTGGATTTAGATTAATGCAAGTATAACATTTAATATCACAGCTTGCACTGGAGGCTGAGAAAACAGTTTAATAAAAAGGTGTTCTTAAATAAGGTTTTGCATTATCTCAAGTGTTATGCTACTCTGCTGTGTTTTGGTACAGTGCTTTTTTTTTGCTTGCTATTTAATAATAGAAACCCCATAAATTGTAAAGATATAGTTATGATGAAATACTCTTTTAAAAAAAAGCTAAGTGCCAAACAAAATAAAAAGAGAAGAAAGATCCTTGCTTCAATTAATACAATTACTTATTGTGATAACTTATAGGTTAGTCTCTAAGCAATCCAACTTGTGTGCTATAAAATGAATTTTGATGTTTCTCCAGGGAAATGTCCAATAAAGTTATGCCTCTGCTAATAAATCTGATCATGGACTGTTTTAGCATAGCACTCTAAATGTATTTAACTGTGTTAAATATGGACCACAAAAATGGTCAGAGGGATGGAACACCTCTCTTATAAGGAAAGGCTGAGAGAGTTGGGGTTTTTCAGCCTGGAGAAGAGAAGGCTCCGCGGAGACCTTATTGCAGCCTTTCAGTACTTAAAAAGAGGGCTTATAAGAAAGATGGGGACAAACTTTTTAGTAGAGCCTGTTGCAATAGGACAAGGGGTAATGGTTTTAAGCTAAAAGAGGGTAGATTCAGACTACAGATAAGGAAGAAATTTTTTACAATGAGGGTGGCGAAACAGTGGAACAGGTTGCCCAGAGAGGTGGTAGATGCCCCATGCCTGGAAACCTTTAAGATCAGACTGGATGGGACTCTGAGCAACTTGATCTAGTTGAAGATGTTCCTGCTTATTGCAGGGGGAGTTGGACTAGATGACCTTTAAAAGTCCCTTCCAACCTAAACTATTCTATGTTTAATTTGCACTTTGAAACAGGAGAAGTGTCTCCAGTTTCTTCTAGAGTAACTTATTTTCATTTATCTGTTTAGTAATCTAAATATAAAATTTTGTAAAATTGTGATCTAAATGCAAAATTAACAAATAAGATCATTTCAGAGCAATAGCCCAAGTGTTCTGGTTCTGACTTTTCAAATTAAAAGCTAAGACTCCTGAGACTGACTGCTTATGGCTTGAACAGGTGTACTGTTCAATGGATAAAAAGCTGAGTGAGTGGCCAGGACCAAAGAGTTGTGGTGAATGGAGTTAAATCCAGTTGGCAGCCGGTCACAAGTGGTGTTCCCCAGGGCTCAGTATCAGGGCCAGTTCTGTTTAGTATGTTTATCGATGGTCTGGAGGAGGGGATCGAGTGCACCCTCAGTAAGTTTGCCGATGACACCAAGTTGGGTGGGAGTGTTGATCTGCTTGAGGGTAGATCAACAGGCTCTAAAGGGGAATCTGGACAGGCTGGATCAATGGGCTCAGGCCAATTGTATAGAGTTCAACAAGGAAAAGTGTTGGGTCCTGCACTCAGGTTACAATAACCCCATGCAATGCTACAGGCTTGGGGAAGAGTGGCTGGAAAGCTGCCTGGCAGAAAAGGACCTGGGGTTTTTGATCGATAGATAGCTGACTGAATACGAGCCAGCAGTGTGCCCAGGAGGCCAAGAAAGCCAATAGCATCCCAGCTTGTGTCAGAAATAGTGTGGCCAGCAGGACTAGGGAGCTGATTATCTCTCCGTACTTGGCACTGGTGAGGCCGCGCCTCAAATACTGTGTTCATTTCTGGGCCCCTCACTATAAGAAAGACATGGAGGTGCTGGAGCGTGTCCAAATAAGAGCAACGAAGCTGAAGGTTCTAGAGCACAAGTCTTACCAGGAGCTGCTGAGGGAACTGGTTTTGTTTAGCCTGGAGAAAAGGAGGCTGAGGGGAGACCTTATCACTCTCTACAACTGCCTGAAAGGAGGTTGTAGTGAGGTGGGTGTTGGTCTCTTCTCCCAAGTAACAAGTGATATGATGAGAGGAAATGACATCAAGTTGTGCCAGGGGAGGTCTACATTGGATATTAGGAAAAATTTCTTCACCAAAAGGGTTGTCAAGCATTGGAACAGGCTGCCAGGGAAGTGATTGAGTCACCATCCCTGGAGGTATTTAAAGGATGTGTAAATGTGGTCCTTAGTGACATGGTTTAGTGATGGATTTTGCAGTGCTGAGTTAAGGATTGTACGTGATGATCTTAAAGGTCTTTCCCAACTTAAATGATTCTGTGGTTCTGTGATTCTGTTCTTCATATTTTTAAATTGTACACTACCTTAAATAACTTGTGGTGGTGAAAAAAAATGTTCACATCATTTATGAACGTACTGCGAGATCTCTTCCGCTGCTCAGGTTGAAGTCTCTTAGTCATTACTGGCTTCCACGGAGCAAGTTCTTGAGTTGGTTAATCCATGACTGTCTATAAACAAGTCCAGTCAAGAATGTCAGTAGACTTAATCAAAACTTGATTTACAGTCAAGATAGTCAGTCACTGAGAAATTACTCTGAAGTCTAAGCTACGCACAATTAGATGATAAAGAAAAAAGGGAAAGAATAATACATCGAAATAAGTATTTTTTCCAGAGTACAAAACACATGGAAGAATTTAATGAGAAACACAATCAAAACAAATGGTGTGAGAGTCTCGGAGAGCGAGTGTTGTGACTAGGGGAGAGGCGATGGCTGAATTCAGTGACAAAGCAGGAAAGTGGGATCATGATGGACTCTCAAGGGCCAGAATAGCTCATTAACTATACAATTCTTTACAAAATTAATAAATACAAATATTTGGGAAGGGGAAAAGTCCATAAACACCTTGTGAAGTGTTGAAGCATTAACAAATTTTAGCTGTATAATCTCCCAGTAAACCTGTAAGCCTATCTAAAGCAATCTCTTTATGGCCTGTTCTTCCCTAGGGATGGTGTTCCATACTGCGAAACGGACTATCATGCGAAGTTTGGTATCAGATGTGACAATTGTGAAAAGTATATCACAGGAAGAGTGCTTGAGGTAAGGAGAAACTGTCATTCGAACACATGTCAAAGTGTACAAAGAGTCTTGCTGTTTTGAGTCTAGTCATATGCTCATAAATGAGTGTTAATGCAGCAATTTAACGTTACTTTTGTGAAACATGAGGAAGTTTTTCAATAATTCTTTTCTGTTTCTTCTCTTAATGGTTTGATAATACACATGCTCCCTAAATGGATATTTGTGGTACTGGAGCATATTCAGGTAGCAGAAGTAAAAAATGAATGGCTTATCAGACACATTTTAATACATACAGTAAATTCCTTTGTGAAGTCTGCTCTTTCTTTCTGTTTTATGTTCCCCAGAGTTAGGGTGAAGCTGCTGAAAAATTAAAATTAATCATTTGCAGTGTATTTTTGCACCCAGAAATGAGCTATGTTGCAGAGTTTTTTTGAGTTTGTGGTTTTAAAAAGGAAGGAGGTTGTTTAGTGTAGGTGAATGCTTGTACTTTCTACAAAAGAGATTTCCACGTAACTGACCCACGGTTAGAAGTGGATATGCTCCTTTGATCTAAATAGAATTTATCCTTGTATCTAAGTGTATGGTTATCCTTTTTCTTTCTGCCCTTTCCCTGTATCTTGTGAAGCCTTAGCAGTACTGGAGTTAGGAAATGGTTCCCCAGATTGCTTAATTCACTCCTTTCTCTTCATCAGCTAAGAAAGCTCGGAGAGGTCCCAAGTTAAGAAAGCTGCTAGGAGTCATGCACAGACTTAAGTATTCAAATGGTGGACAATTATAGCTGTGGAAGGGACTGAGAAGCAAGTGAAGGAAACAGTAAGTCCATACTAGATGGTGTGGTATGGTGTTAAGGTTAGGCATGGGAGGCTTTTCCATTATCAAATGTTTTTACAGACATCTCAGAAAACAGGCTTCTCATGGGATTTGAAAGAGTATAAAGACAGCTTTCTCCCTATTTACAGACAGCTTTCTCAAGTGGGAGGGGCAAACCAGAAGAAAACATTAAAAAAGCTTTAAAAATTTAAGGGTTGACCAGGGGAAGCTGCTGCATGTTTTCAGAGGTGTGAGCCTTTCACATGGAATGAAAGGTAGTAAGAGGGGGAGGGCTTGGGAGGTGAAGCTAATTAACTTACATTTGATGTGATAAAGAAGAGAGAGGTGAATGCAGAGGGAAGTGTCATGGTAAAAACTAGAGCAAATTTGGGGTGCATTTACCCATAGCAGGTTATAGGGAGTGATTAATACTAAGATGGGTGAAGAGCAGAAGCTCCAATTTCTCTACTGAGTCTTGGCTTCACAACATTGTGTTTTTCTGTCCTGGTTCTTGCCTTGAGATGTGCACAAAAATACCCCTTTTGTTTGGTGTAATATTTTACTTGCGATATGGTTAAACAATAGCATGTGATGTGATATAAGAACTAGGTCCATGCTGTCTCTGTGGACGATGAAAAGAAAAGTTAAAAAGAAAAATTGCATAGTAACAGTGCTGAGTTGGATTTGTGGGACCTGGGGACACGTGTGGCATTATCTGTTTCTTCTAACTGCTTGGTTAGAGCGGACTGAATAGGAGGAGAGTTCCTTGCTTTTATCATAGGTGGACCAATAACAAGCTTGAGAAAAATGAATTCTTTAAAGTTGTTGGAATTTTACCATGACTGATTATGTCTGTCATTGTAGGTCTAGGGGATGTTTTCCGTTAGTGCATGTGTGTTCCCCCCTCCTCTCCCCTTCCCCAAGGTTGCTGTAGCACTGATTCTCTTCTTACTTTGGTACTAGTGCAGGCTGGGAGCAACTTTGTTTGAAGTCTGTGGCACTTAACTGTGGAAAAAGTGCTGATGCAAGATTCTGAAACCTTAAAAAAAAATAAACGAGGAGAAAGGACTTTTCCAATCTGTAAAAGCACAGCCCTGTCAGATAGTGTCACTTTCAAATAGGAAAGATAGGATGAAGTTAGTATGAAGCAGGCAATGGACTTGAACAGGTACAATGATTTTTAATGTCTAGAGACTTGTTATAACAACCTGGAAACTTTGTGGTCTATAACCTTCTTTCCATAAGATTGTATAAAACAATTTGTTGTTTTGTGTGCAACAAAACTAATGAAGCTTGAATACGGGTGAATACCCTCTGTCCTAGCATTCTGCTGTCACGATAGCTCCTGTTCCTCATGACGTCTCCTGGAATACCTTCTCCCATCCCCTCTATTTCCCCATGACATATCTCGAGAGCTTTCTTTACGTTTCCCCTGCCTGTATACGTGGTCAAGAGGTGACTTCCTCGTAGTGCGAGGCTCCCTCCATGGTGGTCAGCCTGTGATTTCCATGAGCCTTTGGACCTCTGTAAGGGATCACTTAATCAACCCATTGAGTTTCAGTGTTGACCATGGAGAGCAGTCAGATGAGGAGGTAGCACACACGCCTCGTTTCATTAGGAACCTAGACTAAAAGTCATGACCTGAGCAAGCAGATCTGAAAGAACACAGAGACAGTATCCGTAGCTAAAGCAGTTAAGTCATTTGTTGCTCGTCTGCAGCAGATGGACTTGCTCAAAAGGTTTGGAATTGGGGCTGGTTCTTCTGTCTGTCTGGAATCAAACTCGGTGTGTGTTTGTCATCGGCCAGCTTGCTGGTATGTTTGTGAATCTCCTGGTTAGGAGGACAGAAAAAGAAAAAGTAGCAATGACTGCTTTTTGTTGTGAGATATGTTTTTTTTGTGGAATTGTCTGGAATCCTGAAACATTTTTCAAAACTTCAGTATTTCGTTTTACCATCTTAAATATAATCTGGAGATAACAGAAATAATAGGGCAAATTGCAATTAAAGTGGAGGAAATCTTGACAGCAATACTCACTAGGCAGAGGAATAGTCTCCCAAAGGAGCTGCTGGAAGCCATCACTTAGCTCATATTAAAACAAGATTGGACAAGGCACTGGAAAATCTACGTTAGGAAGCAGTCCTGCAATGACAACGGGAGGGACTATATGACCTAAGAGGATTTTTTCCATCTCTGATTTCTGTGATAATGTCAGGAGGACAGCTGCTTCCACAATTATTCTGTGCCCAGATTTTATAATACTGTCTCCCTTTCCAACACTTGTTCATTTTAAGTGTTTATTCAGCAGAGGAGGAAGGGAGAGTCAACTAGTGTGAGTTACTGATAACTAATAAAAATATGGCTGTTTTTGTAGGTTGCCAGCCAAATACAATGATTTAGATACTTAAATTCTTCCCTCAGCCCATTTTCTGAAGACCAGACTCATTCCATGTAGTAAATGAGCTTAAACACGGGATAGCTCTGTTTATAATTCCTTTCTTGTTTCTTTCTTCCTCTCCAGTCCACCTTGGCTTGCCCCTAGTCTCCCAGGGAACTTGTACTGGAAAAGCTACAAAAGAGGCTGAGCAGCTAATTTACGGAGACCATAAATTCTTCTATTGCTTTAAAGACAACAGTTTTGCTGTTCTTTTTACAAAAAACGTGCCCACCACTGCTTTTATGGGCAAAGTTTGGTTTGCTCGTGAAGCATACAGAGCACTGTTTAATGCAGCTTCAGTCCTTTCCTAGAAATTGCTATGTTTTTCCCCTGAGCATGTATATAGATAAACCTACCATCTTAAATGGGGAGCAAGAGGTGGCTGAAGTTTACTTTATAGTTTGACTTAAAATGCAGTGCGACTGAAAACCTTTAGGGAGAAAAAGGGTTTTATTTTAGTGCTTATCCTATAGCTCTGTTCCCAGTCCAGCAATAGCTAAAATCGTGCAATAACACGGAAACGCATTTTAAAATAATAAGCTACTGATTTTTATAACCAGCCATTTCCCTTTTATGTGTTGCAATCTATTTTTCTACATTTAGCACTAAAAATAGTTTTCTCTCTTTTTCTATCACAAGCAGTTATTTATTAAGTAAAATCACAACTTGTGCTAATGAGCATATCATAAAATATTAAAAATAAGTGTAATTGCCTTTTTTCTAAAAATATACTGTATTTTGCATGATAATTCAGAGCCTGATACAAACTCTTTTCAATCAAGAAAACATTTTCCATTTGTTTCATGATCTTTAATCAGTCTTCTAGCTGTGTTTTGCTCGAAGGAGGGTTGTCTGCCTCCGGGTCCTTCCCACATGACAAGCCATGCAGAGGCTTGGAAGGCTGTTGAGGTGTGTGGAGGAGCTGTGTGACAGCCAGTGACTCCTCTGTGTCCTCTCCTGGGGAACATGCCTGGGTTTCCTTAACATCTGATATTCAGAAACTCAGTTCCAGCAAACTCTCTATTTATAAGTGGTCTCTGTATAGTTATTAATTTTTCTAATATAGGTTGATTTTCAGCTTTTTTGATCTTCTCCCCTTTAATTGATGAACTCTAAGGAGAATTTATGGAGAACAGTTGTAGTTCCTCCTAACTTTCATTTTGCAAAACTGAATGAACCAAATTATCCTCTGCACATAAAGTCATCTCCAGGCTTTTCTGGTGGACCTTCTCACTGTTTGATTCCAAGCTGGAACCACCTTCTCTCAGCATGGATGGATGTTGTACTCCAAATGATGCCTCACCACTGCCTTGTGCAGTGATAGTAACCCCTTCCACTGTTTCTAAAGAAAGTACTTTCCCTGGTATATCTCGCACTGAGTGTGTTTTTTTTCCGTGGCTTTATTAACATTGACAGCCTATAGCAAGATAAGATTTGACGGGAGGAGATTCTCTTCATCTGCTGTTTCAGATAATGGTGATGTTAGAGGAAGCTGAGGTTGTTAGAAGAAGCCTTCATATCCATAGATAACCTCCTGGGGATGTTTTGATGGCAAATGCAGTATAGGCTGTGAGGGTTGCTTGGATAGGCAACTACAGCCCAGTGCTGGCCAGGCATAGTTGCGGGTCTTAGCAGGTCTCCATGACCAACTGTACTGGTAGTGATGAACAAACTGGATCTCTACCACTACTAGCTGGTGTTCTGAATTTCATGTGAATAAAAGTTGACGGTGTAGCACGTTGGACGTTATGCTTTTGGAAGAGTCTCTTGGGGCT